CCATGTGACCTAATATGTCATGTGACCTAATATGTCACTGACCTAATATGGACCTGTAGCCTAATACAGCCAGCTAATATGGCCATGTGACCTAAAATGACATTACCCTAGTAAGGCCATGTGACCTAATATTACTATGTGGCCCAATATGGCATTGATCTAGTCTGGCCATGTGACCTAATATGACATTGACCTAATATGACCATGTGGCCCAATATGGCATTGACCTAGTCTGGCCATGTGACCTAATATGGCATTGGCCTAGTCTGGCCATGTGACCTAATATGGCATTGACCTAGTCTGGCCATATGACCCAATATGACACTGATCTAGTCTGGCCATGTGACCCAATATGTCACTGACCTAATATGGACCTGTGGCCCAATACAGCCACCTAAAATGGCCGTGTGATCTAAAATGATATTAACCTAGTAAGGCCATGTGACCTAATATGGCATTGACCTAATATGGCCATGTGACCCAATATGACACTGACCTAGTCTGGCCATGTGACCTAATATGTCACTGACCTATTATGGCCATGTGACCTAAAATGACATTACCCTAGTAAGGCCATGTGACCTAATAGGACATTGACCTAATGTGGCCATGTGATCCACTATGACATTGACATAATATGGCCACCTAATGTGGCCATGTGACTTAAAATGACATTGGTCTAGTATGGCCATGTGGCCTAATATGGCCACCTAATGTGGCCATGTGACTTAGAATGACATTGACTTAATATGGCCATGTGGTCTAATATGATATTAACCAAATATGACTGTGTGACCATATCAGCTCAATGATGTCACAAGCAACTCCGCCCTACAATGGAAGACTATACTAGCTCACAGTTCTGTGGGAGAATGATTGGACAAGTGAAAAATTGTGGCCCAGTGCAGTTGTTCCTATAGAAGAATCCTGGTATCCTGGTTCTGATCCTTGGGTAACCCAGTCATTAATGTTCATCCTTGCATTCTGCCAGAAAGACCTCTTTCATCAGATGGTTCAGATTCCTCAAAATGCCATCTGAGATTCACCGCATGACCAGAAATGATTGTGCTGTGCCGTAAATATCGGGGATGTTGCATCGCCTTGTGTAGGGATCCTGCCTCAGGTTGGAGTGTCCACAGCTAAGCTGAGCTTGTTTTGCAGCTACGCTGTAGCCAGCCTGAGCTTTTTATTTATGTTTTCTGTGTTTGATAGGTTTCTCCTAAGCCTAAGACATCAATTATTTTTGCCTCCCGCTGTTGAGTTGTCTCCAGTAGTAAATGTAGGGACCCTGCCCCTAGTACTCAACTTCTTCCACTCAACAAAGAGTCAGGAACGCTAGCCCATTGGGCCACCTGGTGGTCCGCCACCACTTCTTAAGAGTAAGGGGGTGCTATATTTCGTGCTAGGGGTGACTATATATAAGTTATGAATATTTATCAGTCTCAGCCAATTACTGAAGGGTTTTGGCCAGAAAAGTCTTTTGTCTTCTCTGCTGGACTTGCCACTATGAAGAATACTTTTAGGGCCTTTCCCCAGCCAGGGGGCTTGTGCTGAAGGCCTAAGAAATCTAAGCTGCCTTGCTGGAGGGTATATCCAGACGGAGCAAAGCACGAAGATGACCTGCTGTCTGGTGCATCTTGGGAGAGGTTTGCTATGTTGGGGAATGTTCTGGAGAGCTTGCAAGAAGCTGCTGCCAGAAGACACTGAATGGAGATCCCTTTGCTCAGCATAAAAGGTTCCAGTTAGAGCTCATAGAGTCAAGGACCTCACATCCACTTAGAATAAGAGGAAGACAATTTGAATATTAACAACAGATAGTGATTGCTCTCATCACTGATATCCACTTGGTGGTCCTTAAAGGGACAATTACTATAATGGGGCTGCTATCAAAGGGCCAATTACAATCATGAGACTGTTTTTAAAGGGCCACTACAGTTCTACTTCTACCTGGGATACTTTCATATTTTCAGGTATCCTGTGGACCTAACCTAATAGGACATTGACCTAATATGGCCATGTGACCCAATATGACATTGGTCTAGTATGGCCATGTGGCCTAAAACGGCCATCTAATGTGGCCATGTAATCCACTGACATTGACATAATATGGCCACCTAATATGGCCATGTGACTTAATATGACATTGATCTAATATGGCCATGTGGCCTACCTGGGATACTTTGATATTTTCAGGTATCCTGTGGCCCTAACCTAATAGGACATTGACCTAATATGGCCATGTGACCCAAAATGACATCATGAGACTGTTTTTAAAGGGCCACTGCAGTTCTACTTCTACCTGGGATACTTTGATATTTTCAGGTATCCTGTGGCCCTAACCATCTCGCCAGAGTTTATAGAGCAAATAAACTATAGAAATGACTAAAGAGCTTGGTGCCCAACTTCCTTGTTACAATAGGCCAAGGACTGTCTGCCCCTGGTCATGTGACCTAATAGGACATTGACCTAATATGGCCATGTGATCCACTATGACATTTACATAATACAGCCACCTAATATGGCCATGTGATCCACTATGACATTGACATAATATGGCCACCTAATGTGGCCATGTGACCTAAAATGACATTGACCTAATATGGCCATGTGGTCTAATATGATATTAACCGAATATGGCCATGTGACCATATCAGCTCAATGATGTCACAAGCAACTCCGCCCTACAATGGAAGACTATACTAGCTCACAGTTCTGTGGGAGAATGATTGGACAAGTGAAAAATTGTGGCCCAGTGCAGTTGTTCCTATAGAGGAATCCTGGTATCCTGGTTCTGATCCTTGGGTAACCCAGTCATTAATGTTCATCCTTGCATTCGGCCAGAAAGACCTCTTTCATCAGATGGTTCAGATTCCTCAAAATGCCATCTGAGATTCACCGCATGACCAGAAATGATTGTGCTGTGCCGTAAATATCCGGGATGTTGCATCGCCTTGTGTAGGGATCCTGCCTCAGGTTGGAGTGTCCACAGCTAAGCTGAGCTTGTTTTGCAGGACTTCAGCTTGAGAAGTTAAATACTAGCTGGCCACACTACTGTGGTGGTCGTTCTATTCTGCCCAGAGAGGAGGAGTGCTAGACTTGGAAATAATCCATCTTTATACTGTTGTATTTTATTTATCACCTCCTTTGCTTGGCAACATAATATTTTCCTTATATACCAGTAAATCCTACCCGGCATATCTACTGATATGTCAGAACCCGGGTCTGAACCTGCAACCTCTGCTGTGTCTGGTGGTGTCTCTTCTTGTTGAGCCACCTGGGATGCATGAAACCTCCTGAGACAATTCCTTGAAAGATCCTGCCTTGAATCTTGTTTCACTTGAACCTTTTGTTCCTCCCAGGAACTTCCTATGATGAGCCATGCCTTTGCACTTCCTGTTTGCCAGATTATTGTACTCTCTCCAGCCTCTCGCTCTTGTTTCTCCTGCTGCCATCTGTATCTCCGCTACCACTTGTTACTGACCTTTGGCTTGTTCCTTGACTACACTTCTGCTTTATCCCAACCTGTGACCACTTGTTACCGATCTTTGGCTTGTTTACTAACTATGCTTCCACTTGAACCCTACCTGATCAATCTGCTACTGGACCCCAGCCTGATCATCTCCTGGTGGGGCAATCCTTAGGACTGCGACCTGGTACTAACATGCAGCAAAACCCATCTCCACCATAGGGAGCTCTGGTGAATAGCGGTTAGTGCTTAAACCCCACACCTCGGTAGAACCTGCGTCATCCGCCAGGATGATCTGCTTGTATACCTATCCAGCTGGTTGGTGGGAGCTACTGCTATAGGTACTGGTCTCCAAGCCTGACCCTGACCATGACATGACCACTGTTCTGTGAGAGATCACATTATATCTGACACAGGTGACCACCCCCTCCTTCTCAAAAAACTCTATTTACTTGGTCTCCGTAACTGTGCTCTCCGTTGGTTCAAATCTTACCTATCTCATTGCACCTTCAGTGTCACTTACAACACTACTTCCTCCTCTCCTACTCCTCCTACTGTCAGGGTCCCCCAAGGTTCTGTCCTTGGACCTCTCCTACCCCTCCTACTGTCAGGGTCCCCCAAGGTTCTGTCCTTGGACCTCTCCTACTCCTCCTACTGTCGGGGTCCCCAAGGTTCTGTCCTTGGAACACCTCTTACTGTCGGAGTCCCCCAAGGTTCTGTCCTACCTCCTACTTCTTTACTGTCGGAGTCCCCCAAGGTTCTGTCCTTGGACCTCTCCTACTCCTACTCCCCCAAGGTCTTACTGTCGGGGTCCCCCAAGGTTCTGTCCTTGGACCTCTCCTACTCCTCTTAATGTCGGAGTCCCCCAAGGTTCTGTCCTTAGAACTCTCCTACTCCTCTTACTGTCGGAGTCCCCCAAGGTTCTGTCCTTGGACCTCTCCTATTCTCCATCTACACTTCTTCCTTGGGTCTACTGATAGCTTCCCATGGCTTCCAATACCATTTCTTTGCTGATGACACACAAATCTATCTCTCTACTCCTCAGCTCACCCCCTCAATCTCCTCACATATCACCAATTTACTAACAAACAATATCAGACTGGATGTCACAACACTTCCTACAACTCAATCTGTCCAAAACTGAGCTCATAATATTTCCTCCCCCACATGCCTCTTCCCCTGATTTCTTGGTCAGGATCAATAGCACCATCAACCCATCCCTGCATGCCGGGGTGCGAGGGGTAACCCTGGGTTCTGAACTGTCCTTTCAGGCCCACATCTAATCCCTTTCCAAATTCTGCCGCCTCAACCTCCGCAACATCTACGGAATACGCCATTTTTTAACCAATGACACCACAAAGCTCTTAATTCCCTCCCTGGTTATCTCTCACCTCGACTACTGCATCTCCCTCCTCATTGGCCGACCTATAGACATAGACTATCCCCCCTTCAGTTCATCATGAATACTGCTGCCAGGCTCATCAACCTTACCAACCATTCAGTGGCTGCTACCCCTTTCTGCTAATCCCTCCACTGGCCTCCATTCAGTGTCCTCCACCCCTCTCTGCCAATCCCTCCATTGGCCTCCAGTGTCCTCCATCCCTCTCTGCCAATCCCTCCACTGGCCTCCATTCAGTGTCCTCCACCCCCCTCTGCCAATCCCTCCACTGGCCTCCATTCAGTGTCCTCCACCCCTCTCTGCCAATCCCTCCACTGGCCTCCATTCAGTGTTCTCCACCCACTCTCTGCCAATCCCTCCACTGACCTCCACTCAGTCACCTCCACCCCTCTCTGCCAATCCCTCCACTGACCTCCATTCAGTGTCCTCCACCCCCCTCTGCCAATCCCTCCACTGGCCTCCATTCAGTGTCCTCCACCCCTCTCTGCCAATCCCTCCACTGGCCTCCACTCAGTGTCCTCCACCCCTCTCTGCCAATCCCTCCACTGACCTCCACTCAGTCACCTCCACCCCTCTCTGCCAATCCCTCCACTGACCTCCATTCAGTGTCCTCCACCCCTCTCTGCCAATCCCTCCACTGGCCTCCATTCAATGTCCTCCACTCCTCTCTACCATTCCCTCCAATGGCCTCCATTCAGTGTCCTCCACCCCTCTCTGCCAATCCTTCTACTGGCTTCCACTCAGTGTCCTCCACCCCTCTCTGCCAGTCCCTCCACTGGTCTCCATTCAGTGTCCTCCACCCCTGTGACTCTCCGCTCTCTTCGATCCTCCCAGGACCTTCTGCTCTCTAGTTCCTGTGTCACCTCCTCCCGTGCTTGCCTCCAGGACTTCTCCCGAGCTTCTCCCATCCTATGGAACTCCCTACCCCAATCTGCCCTGCTGTCTCCTAATCTATCCACCTTTAGACGATCCCTGAAAACCTTTCTCTTTAAATAAGCCTTTCCTGCTTCTACCTAGAAAAACATCATTTCCTCCATCAGCTCCTCCCCCACAGCTATTACCTTTTGTATCACTCAGCCCCTCCTCCTAGATTGCAAGCTCCCAGGATCAGGGCCCTCTGTTTACTCTTGTACCAAATTGTATTGTAACTGTAATGTCCGCCTTCATTTTGTACAGCGCTGCGCACACTGTTGGCGCCATATAAATCCTGTATAATAATAATATTAGTTTTATTGGTCATTAGTCCATAGCGAGGTTTGGATGGGACAGCATTGATTTCGTCAATGCATTGCCATTAATCCCTGTGAAAAAACGGCCACTCTTGCCCCCGTTTCGTAATCGCACATTTGATGTCCTACAAATGGGGATTTTAGACTAAACCCCTCATTTGCATTCACTGATATTTATCTGCTGCCAGGAAAATCTTTCTACATATGATGAAAAAGATGGAGAGTGCTGGGGAATGAGGCAGGATTGCCGAGGACCCACCATTACAAATATGCCTCAAATTCAGGAAGGAACAAAGTTCCGCTTATATAACCTCAGATAATATATATGATAGAAGAAAGAGCCATTTGTTATAATATGCAAAGCATCAGCATGATTTCACAACGCCGTCCCTGAGACAATGCTACAAGTCACATGAAACAAAAAGGGATTGCTATTTGCTTTTCTGTAATGGGCTTGGAAACAATTTTTCTACAAACGGCGGAGTTAAAAGAACTGTAAAAAGAATGAAGGTTCCGACCCTTGTAAGAGCTGCTTTTGTAGAGATGACTTATTGTGACCAGACTGGTACAGAACAAGACGCTCATATAGACATTGCCGAGGAAGGAACATGAGGAGGGGAGAGAGGGAGCGAGGAGGAGAGAGGAAGAAAGAGAAACACAAGAGAAGAGACATAGAGAGAGGGAAGGAGAAAAAGAGGAGAGAGGAGAGAGAGGAAGAAAGAGAAACACAAGAGAAGAGACGTAGAGAGAGGGAAGAGAGAGGAGAAAGGAGAAAAAGAGGAGAGAGGAGAGAGAGAAGAGAGAGAAACAAAGAGAAACACAAGAGAAGAGACGTAGAGAGAGGGAAGGAGAAAAAGAGGAGAGAGGAGAGAGAGGAAGAAAGAGAAACACAAGAGAAGAGACGTAGAGAGAGGGAAGGAGAAAAAGAGGAGAGAGGAGAGAGAGGAAGAAAGAGAAACACAAGAGAAGAGACATAGAGAGAGGGAAGGAGAAAAAGAGGAGAGAGAGAGAGAGGAAGAAAGAGAAACACAAGAGAAGAGACGTAGAGAGAGGGAAGGAGAAAAAGAGGAGAGAGAGAGAGAGAAGAGAGAAACACAAGAGAAGAGACGTAGAGAGAGGGAAGGAGAGAAAAAGAGAGAGAGGAGAGAGAGGAAAAAGAGAAACACAAAGAGAAGAGACGTAGAGAGAGGGAAGGAGAAAAAGAGGAGAGAGAGAGAGAGAGAAAGAAAGAGAAACACAAGAGAGGGAGAGAGAGAGAGAGGAAGGAAAAGAAACAGAGAAGAGAAGAGAGAGAAAAAGAGAGAGAGGAGAGAAAAAAAATAAAGAAGAAAAAAAAAGATGGAAAATACAAAGGGGAGGAGGGAGAGAGAAAGGGAAAGAAAGAAAGACAAGACAAAGGGAGAGGAGAGGAGACGAGAGCAGAGGAGAGGAGAGGAGAGGAGAGGAGAGGAGACGAGAGCAGAGGAGAGGAGAGGAGAGGAGACGAGAGCAGAGGAGGAGAAAAAGTGATTAAAGGGAAGAGAAAAAGAAGGGGGGAGAAACAAGAGAAAGAGGGAAGAGGAGAAAGAAAGAAGAGAGGGGTGAAGAGAGAGAGAGGAAAAGGAGGGAGGAGAGAGAGAAAGGGAAGAAGATGGAAAAGACAGAAAGAGAAGACAAAGGGAGAGGAGAGCAGAGGAAAGGAGAGCAGAGCAGAGGAGAAAAAGTGATTAAAGGGAAGAGAAAGAGAAGAGGGGAGAAAAGGAAGAAAGAGGGAGAAGAGAGAGAGAGGTAAAGGAGGGAGAGAGAGAGAGAAAGAGAAGCATAAAAGAGAGAAAAAAGAGAGGGAGAAGAGATAGAGAAGTAGACCAGAGAAAAAGAGAGAGAGAGACAGACTGAGAAGATGGAAAGAAGAGAGAGAATACAAGGGGGGAGGAGAGAGAAAAAGAGAAGCATTAAAGAGAGAGGGGGAGAAAAGGAGGAGAAGAGAGAGAAAAGGGAGAGAGGGAGAAGATGCAAAAGACAAGGCTGGGGAGGAAGAGAAAGAAAAGAGAAATAGAGGAGAGGAGAGGAGAGAAGAAGGAAAGGAGAGAAAGAGAAAAGAAAGTCAGAGAAGAGGAAAAAAAGAGATGAGAGAAGAGAAAGAGAAGGGGGGGGGGGGGGGGAGAAAGTGGAGAAGATGGCAAGAAGAGCGAGGAGTAGAGAGAGAGAGAACAAGGAGGGAGGAGAGAGAGAGAGGAGCAAGAGAGAGAGAGATAATGAGGAAGGAGAGAGAAGTAGTAGAGAGAAGGAGAAGAGAAAGGAAGAGAAAGAGAAACATAAAAGAGTGAAGAGAGAGGAAGAAAAGAGGGAGAAGAGACTGGGGATAAGGAAAGAAGAGAGAGAAGAAGACAAAGGGAAAGAAGAGAGAAAAAAGAGAAGCATGAAAGAGAGAGGGAGAGAGAAGGGGAAAAGAAAGAAAAGAGACAGAGAGGGAGAAGAGAGAGAAGGAGAAAAGTGAGAGAAAGAGAAGAGAGAGAGAGAGATCAGCCCCAACTCATTGCACTATATAGCCTTACTTACCACCATAGACCAGTCCAAACCTTGTGATCAAAAACTTCTCATAACTTCTCATAACATCTCTTCTATCTCTATCAGAATCCCACCAGTCATCAGGGAGGCAGTTCTGACATGAGGAAGCAAAGCCCTGCTTCTCTACCAAGATTGCTGCCGCCATGGAGAGGCACAGTGCAGAACAAGGCATTGTAGGACAGTAACAAGGAAAGGATCAATTATAGGGAGACCATAAACCATATTGGTGGTTAGTTCTACTACTGTGCTGATCACTGTTCTTGCTGGAGAGGAAGCTGTACCTGAGGACCTGCAGTACAAGGATTTCCCTGCTTCTGCTTCATCCATTCTGTGGATCTGTGCTTCATCTATCTCTATCATCACCCCACCAGTCATTAGATCACCAGTCATCAGGGGACAGCTCTGATATGAGGAGGCAAAGCCGTGCCTCTATCAAGATGGCCGCCTCCACACAGAGACACGGTGCTGTACAAGGCATAGTAAGTCAGTAATGGGGGTAGATCATCTTCAGAGAGACCACCAGCAATACTGGTGACTAGCCATTTGTCCTCTGATTGTTTTGGGGCACAGATTCCTCTTGATGAAAGAGAAAAAGATAAATGGGGGGAATAAGAGAAATCATAAAAGAGATAAGGAGTTAAAGTGGGGGGAGGAGGAGGAGGAGGGAGACACATTGAATGTAGACAAGTAACAAAAAGTAGAGGTGGGATGGATAGAGAAAGTTCCGTGGATGAGGAGATCTAGGACTGAACGGAAGACACTTGAAACGTACGATCGAATTAATGTTTTCCTTTTCTCTGGCACTGACTGGTGGGATCACAGAAGTTTCTTTGTAACATCTGCAGGCAGGCGTGCCTCGGAGTCCAGTAGACAAAGATCATTCCATTATGCGGAAGGCTTTCTCCATCTTTAGTTGACGTCTCCTTCACACTTCTACTCTTCACTGCGGTTTAACATTAATATGGGTCTGTCGTCTCTCATCAGTCACAATATCTACGGGAGGGATCTCTGTTTTTAGCACATCGGCCTTCAGATGTAGGCCTATCGGCGATGAGATGACAGAGCCATGATAACTGAAGCCGGGTGTAAAGATGTTTCCAGTAAAGATAGTAAAAGAAACAATGTATTATGTAACTGCTTCATTGCCACCGCTTGTCCTATAGATCATCGGCCATTGGCTACGTAGATGGAGGACAACAATGTCGGATACATCATTGATGGTCAGCAGTTTCCTTTCATTATTATACAGTACATCAATCTGCCTCGTAGTTTAGTCAAGGAGATATTTTCAGCAAGGAGGCCTGACGTTGCAGAGAGATTACACCTTCACTGAAATGTTCAAGATTTCTTCATGGGGACTACTTATGGGAATTTTTTTAATTTTTAAGAACAATGGCAAGGCTCATGTGATGACTATATCAGGGATGATATGGTGATAAATGGCTTTGTTTATCAATTCCAACCCTTATGCTCTCTCTGAACCGGATGTTCTCAACTAGGGTTCTTCCAGAGGTTGCTAGAGGTTCCTTGAGCTGTGGCTGAGTGACCTCCCGTTTGATGGTGCATGCATAGTTCCAGAGCCAACACCACTTGGAAGAATCAATGGCATGACACCAATTATCTTTTTAACTATCTATAAGGGTGGCATTCTTTCTAGAGTCCCAATATATTGGTTTTAGGAAGGGTTCCCAAAGACCTGAAAATTATTTCAAGGGTTCTAAAGTAAAAAGGTTGGGAGAGGCTGCCCTAACTCCTTGTTT